GAAACAGACCAGTGGGGGGTCTTATTAGTCAGGTAGGAAAGCTCCCACACTAACTTGAATCTTATCGCCACATGTTCTCATCTATGGCAGGAAGGGGGAGTCTGAAAAAAAGCAGGCTCAACGGCTTTCTCAGAAGGACATTAACCATCTCTTTCTGATCCTAGTGATGTTTTTCTTATTAAAATTCCAGTATCCCATATTTTAGCAATATTGTTTCCTCTGATGTTTGTCAAAATGAACTTCGTTGTTGGTGACTAAATTGCTGGAGCACTATTTATTAAAAACCGTTTCTTTAAAAAAAAACAATATTGCTTTTACTATATACAATGTTCGCTTGGTTATAGTCATTTCATTCTTCATTATTTCATGCAAATCTTTCCATGTTTTTCTAAGGTCATTGAGGTTTTCTTGGTAAAGTTACTGGAATGGCTTGCCATTTCCTTCTCCAGGCCATTTTACAAATGAGGAAACTGAGGCAAATGGGTTAAGTGACTTGCCCAGGGTCACCCAACTAGTAAGTGTCTGAGGCCAGATTTGAACTCCAGTCTTCCTGACTTGAGGCCTGGCACTCTATCCACCACACCATCTAGCTGCCCCTGTAGATCAATGGATCAATAGTGATACAGAAATAGGGCATTTTGAAAACTGTTCTCCATGGCCTGGTTGGAGTTATTGCAGTTATTTCAGGGATGCAAAAATTGTTTCACATTATACAATTTTTATCATAATAAATTTAATGAAAAATGATTACAATCATCATTACACCAATAGGCAGAAAAAGCCTACAACATCCAGCATTCATCTATGTTTCAAATACTCAAAACCATAGGATTAAAAGGACCGTTCTCATCAGGAAAGGACCCCCATTGGAAGCTTTCCTCTGGGAAGAAACATGGGTGCCCCAAGTCTCTCCCATTACTATTTCCACGTGTGAGCTATACTAAGAAGAGAAGAGAAGAGAAGAGGAGAGGAGAGGAGAGGAGAGGAGAGGAGAGGGGAAGGGAAGGGAAGGGAAGGGAAGGGAAGGGAAGGGAAGGGAAGGGAAGGGGAGAGGAGAGGAGAGGAGAGGAGAGGAGAGGAGAGGAGAGGAGAGAAGGGAAGAGAAGAGAAAGTAGGGGAACAGGGATAGGGAAGGGGAGGCAGAATTAGTTCTATCTGCACATATATATGGGTGAACCTTTAGTGACTTATATGTATGGGGTTAGGATTAGGTGACCTTCCCCTGCAACCAGTGAGCTCTTCTGTTCCTCATTCATCATTCAGAGAATGTGGACATTGAGTCTGCCTGATCTTACCCTTTCCTCTTCCTCCCTCTTCTTGCTTTTCCTCTAACACATGAAAACCTAAGGGAGGTTTCCTTCACTGGGCATCCTATCTCTGAGTGGGTCATTGCACAGGCATCTGGTAATGTCTATGGTGAAGATGGAGCAAATTCTTTGGCTGCCTTCTATCTGCTTTGTGATTTACACCTTCTCTGATCCTGTTTTGGGCTGCCTCGATCTCATTTAGACAGGAGGGAACCCACCTATATAAGCCTCTAGTGGCCCTAGACCATTCCTCCTCACCTTTTCTCATTGTGATCATTTTGAGAGTCTCCATATTTTCTATTGGTACGGGTTCCTTGTTTTCCAGGATGTGTTTTTTCATGACTTGGAAGGAGGCATTCTCCAGGACTGAGTTGATTTCTTCCTCACTCATCTCCTTGCCCAGGAATTGGCAAATATTCTCCACACTGGCCTTAAGATTCTAGGGAAAAAATACCATGCCCCACAATGCTGGAAGCATGGGGAGGTCAGGTGGAAATAACAGCAGGAAAAGAGAGAGGCCAAAAGTGAGAAGAACAAAGAAGAGGGATAGGATAGGGAAGAGGCAGATAAGTAGCAGAAGAGGGATAGGAGAAAGAGTTTGAAATTAAAGTGCAAGAAAAAGAGAAGCAGGAACAAAGGATTTAGGAGGAGAGAAAAGAGAGTCTGAGGGGAAAGATCCATAGGGTAGAGAGAAAGGACTGAGTGCAGAGGGGAGAGGAATTAGAGGGGAAGCAGGGGGTCGGGTGGGGAGAGAATTAGATCTGAAGCAAGATCGGGAAGCGAATCAAACCAGGAAATAGAGTCAGGTGAGGATTTGGGGGGACACAAGAAAACTACTTAACAAGAGGTGAAAGTAGAGGTTATGGTGAGTGAATGAAGAGCTGGTGGGGGAGATGGAGATAAAGAAAAGAAGATAAAACAAAGAAAAAAACAAAGTGAGAAATAAAGAGAAAACAGGAAAATGGCATGGACTCATTCTATTGGCAGGCCAGCAGATGGACCAGGGCTAGAGTTGGCAATGACTGTAGAAAGAGCTTCCTATTTTTTGGAATGAGAAAGGGGAAAAATAGGAAGAAGAGTTGGAAGGAAAGAAAGAAAAGAAGAGAAAACATAAAGAAGAGTTGGAGGGGGGATTTAGGTTTTAGTGAGTGAATGGAAAAGGGAGAAAGGTGTACAATTAATAGCAGAGGAAGTGACTGAGAGGAAAGAGAGAGGGGAAAGGAATTAGAGAAAACAGGGAAAGGAAGAGCAATCAGAGGCATGTAGAGGGGAAGCCGAGAGGAGTCCACGGGGCCTAAAAAGAAATGAAGAGGGAGAAAAGCCCGAGGAGAAGACGGGAAGGAGGAGAGCCAAAAGAAGACAGAGAAAAGGGAGGCACAAAATCAGAGAGACAGAAGAGAAGAAGAAAAACACAAGACAAGAGGGAAAGTAGACATGGGGGATGGATAAGGGAAGGCCCAAGAGATTCCTGGGGAGGAGAAAGGAAGTTCTTCTCCCTCAGGATTGTGGGAGCTGCTCCCACCAGCTTGCAACAGAGGAAATCAGCCTCATGCGGCTGGCACAGGCAGAAGCTTCTGACAGATCTGGAAATGCCCTTGAAAGAGCTTTTCTTTTTCTCTTCATGGAGACCTTTTTTTTTGTTTTTGAAGAGTATTTTATTTTTTCCAAATATATCTGAAGATGGTAAGCAATTTGATATGATTTATATATGTGCAATCATGTAAAACATATTTCCATATTAGTCATTTTGTGAAAGAAGAAACAGACCAAAAGAACACACACACACACACACACAAATAAAGAAAGTGAAAACAGTGTGCTTTGACCTGCATTCAGACTCTATCACATCTTTCTCTGGATGTGGATAATATTTTCTATCATGAATCTTTTAGAATTATCTTGGATCATTGTATAGCTGAGAAGAGCTAAGTATTCATAATTGATCATTGCACAATGTTGTTTCTGCGTACAATGTTACCCTGGTTCTGTTCTCCTTATTTTGTATCAGTTCTTGTAAGTCTTTCTAGATTTTTCTGAAATCTGCCTGCTCATAATTTCTTATAGCACAATAGTATCTTTTTCCTTAATTTTCAATACTATTATATTTATTTAAATTACATATGCAGATAGTTTTCCACATTCATTTTTTATAAGATTTTGAGTCCCAAATTTTTCTTCCTCCTTTTCTCCCTTCCCACCTCCCAAAGATGACAAGCAATCTGATATAGGTTATACATGTGCAATCATGTCAAACATATTTCCACATTGGTCATGCTGTGAAAGAAGAAATAGAACAAAAGGGAAAAACCATGAAAAAAAAGTGAAAACAATATGCTTTGATCTGCATTAGGGCACCACGTTTCTTTCTCTGGATGTGGATCCAATAGCATCTTGAAAGAGCTCTTGACAAACCCCAGGATCGCTCTATGGAAGAGAGGTTCTGAGTGAAGGGGCCCGACTGAACCAGCGGATGGACCAGGCCTAGAGTTAGCAATGACTGCAGAAAGAGCTTCCTATTTTTTGGAAGGTACCATTCTTCCTTGCTCTTCATCGGCCCCTCTCTTGATGGATATGCTGGCAAGCTGGGTTGATATCCGAGCTTTGCCCTTGTGACATTTGGCCTCTTCTCCTTTGCTTCTGTCTGATTTTCCCTCATTCTTTGACTCCAGTTCCCCTGGGATTTCTTTAGCTTGACTTGTTCAGTCACTTTTCAGTCATATTTAACTCTTTATGAGATTTTTCTTAGCAAAGATACTAGATTGGTTTGCCATTTCTTTCTCCAACCCATTTTTACAGATGAGAAAAACTGAAGTAAACAAGGTTAAGTGACTTGCCCAGGGTCACACAGCTGGTAAATGTCTGAGACCAGATTTGAATTTAGAAAGAGGAGTCTTCCTGACTCCAGGCCCAGCAATCTATCCACTGAGCCACCTAACTGCCCCCAAGGGCTCCTAATCACCTACATTTAGACATCTTGAATCTCTACACACTGGTTGTTATGGGGACCCAGGCTCTTTCCCTAAGCAGAGCAACGTCTGGGGTGGAAAGGATCAATCTCAACTGGGTTTCCAGTCCCTTTCCATTAATCGCTGAAATGCTTTCTTCTCTTGCTCATTTTGTCCAGCCTGTTCCAATTTCTTTCCATCTCCTTCACATGGCTGGGAAGAATCAATATCTGTCGCTTCCCATAGGGTTATGGCATGTACAAAGTAATCACTGTGTTGGGGAGACCTGGTACAGACTTCCGTGGCTTGAGTTGAAGACCAAGCCTTCCAGATTGCTTGCATTTCCTGCTCCTGGCTGCCAGTTTGCTTTGGGAAGTGGAGTTTCTGAGGGGCAGCACCAAGGGTTTCCTTTCCTCAATGTTATTCCATGTTTTGTAAACCTTGTACAGTGTTTTCTATATTCTCTCTAGTTTTAGTGCCTATCTGGAATATCAGGAACAGAATTCCTTTTTCTGAGGTTTTGGATTAGAGAAATGTGTGGAAAACAGATTTCATCATCATGTTCATCACATGATCCTTAAAAAAGGTGAGGAAGTAGCAACGTTGTTGTTGTTTTTTTTTTTTAGGTGAGGCAATTGGGGTTAAGTAACTTGCCCAGAGTCACACAGCTAGTAAGTGTTATGTGTCTGAGGCCGGATTTGAACTCAGGTCCTCCTGATTCCAAGGCCGGTACTCTATCTATGTGCCACCTAGCTGCCCCAGGGAGTAGCAGTGGAAGCTACTCTTCCAGATCAGATTTTGACCAATAATCTTAAGGACCTGGTCACTGAAATAAAAATAGTGGGAAGTAGGGAGTGGCCATTTGGTCTGAAGATCGATGGTAGAAGAGAGGAATGCCATTAAAAGTCTGACATGAACCTAAGGTTCTGACAGGGAAGATTCCAAAGAGTCTGAAATGGGAGACGATGGCCTAACATGGAACTGGGGACAACAGTCTCCATTGGGTAGAAAGTTCTTGGCCATGAAATTCAGAAGACAAAAGAGAAATCATCCCAATGAGCAAGATAATGGGGTTTTCTCTAAAGAGAATGGCTTTGATCTAAAAGGGACAGTTTGTTCAGCAACTTCTACTTTGAGAAGCCTTGTACAGGAGATGGACGTGAGAAGATTTCAAGTGTAATGTGTTCTTGTAATTTGTCAGGAACACTAAAGGTCACCTTGAGCTGAGGCTCACCCTTAATGCTGAAGATAACAAAGAATGATTTTGTGTGGTGAATGGGGTGAGAAGCAGACTGAAGGACCTTTGCTTGGAGTGGCTGGGATCATCACAATGACCTGCAGGGAGCAAGGAAACCTGGCTACTCCGATCTTACTTCCTTTCTCTTTCTTCTTTCTGCCACACAGAATGGTCTTTGTGACTGGAATTTGAAAAGCAACTCAGATGAGAAATAATGCAAGTGTCTCCTACTGGCCTTGTGTACCGAGAGCACACACTTTAAAAGGTTTGCAGAGCTGCGAGCGAGTGGTGAGGATGTGAATCGAAGGCTAATGTAAGGGACGTTGTGTGGCCATGAGAACTATTCCAAATCGGAACTGCCAACCTTGGAGGGCAATCAGCTTCCTCTTCCCAGAGGCCTTCCAGGCTTGCCTGGTTGAGTACATGGTCATGGGCTTGCTTTTTTCACTCCATGCTGGGATAGATGGCCACAGAGGTCCTTTTCACTGACATTTAGGGATTCTGCGCATTGCCGTCTGGGGGAGAGAGTATGGACCACCTCTCGGTGAGGTCAAGTCACCAAGCCAAAGAAAGCCCCAGCTCAAGGGCCGCAGAAAGAAGGACCCAAGAGGAACCTGCGGATCACAATAGGTATGCATGATATGAATAGCATTCAGGTTACGGCATGGAATGGGAGCCCCTCGAGGTTAGGCGCTGTCATTTACCTTTGTGTCCTCCACGCCTGACACACAGTAGGTTCTTAGTGCCGACTGACTGAGTTGACTGAGAATGAACTGGAGGTCGTCTCCGAGGGCCGGCACCAGGACTAAATAGGCCTAGCTAAGGCTTTTTTTTTTTTTTTTTTTTTTTTTACAGAAAGTGAAATTTGAGCTGAGACTTCAGGAAAACCAGGAGGCAAAAGGGAAGAGGGGAATGATTCCACACGTGGAGGGGCAGCCAGTGAAAGGGGACAGACTTAGGAGATAGAGTCATGTGTATAAAGAACACTAAATGGGGTGGGGGGAATGGAGGTGGACAGGAATTTATTAAGAACCTACTGTGTGCCAAGCACAGGATCAGTGGTTTACAAATACTAACTCATTTGATCTCCATGACAACCCTATGAGGTGGGTGCTATTATCCCTATTTTACAGCATTGGAAAATGAGGCAGACAGAGGTGAAATGAGTTGTCTAGGGTCACGCAGCTAGTAAGGATCTGAGGCCAAACCTGTCTCCAGGTTCAGTACTCTGTGCCACTAGCTTCCTGAAAGGCCAGTATCCCCAGAGGAAATATGACATGGGCAGGAGTGAGAGGTTGGAAGACTGGAAAGGGAGTAAGGGGCTGGGTTTTAAAGGGCTTGGATGCCGAACTGAGTATTTTGTATTTGCTCTGGGAGGCAGTAGGGAGCCACTGGAGGTTATTGGGTAAGGAGGAGACATGGTCAGATCTGGCTTTTAGGAAAATCATTTTAGTGGCTAAATGGAGTGGAGAGACTTGAGGCATCCACTCCCCTCGCCCCCTCCAGGAGCCTATTGGAATATTCCAGGTGTGAGGTGATGTGAAGTTTGATCATGTCACCCTACTACTCACTAAACTCCAACGGCTCCCTGTCACCTCCAGGATCCAGGACAAACTCATCTGCCATTCAAAGCCATTTCTGTCGGACGCCTTCCTGCCATGCACGTCTTCTTGCGCTTGCCTCACCAACAGTAACCCTTCATCCAGTGACACGGCCCTCCTGCCTGTTCCCCAAGCGAGATCCTCCATCTTTTGGCTCTGGGCTTTGTCTCTGACTGTCCCTCACATAGAGAATGCTCTCCCTCCACGCTCTGACTACTGACCTTCCCAGCTTCCTTGAGGGGGCAGCCAGGTGGCATAGTGGATAGAGTGCTGGGCCTGAATTCAGGGAGATTCATCATCATCAGTTCAAATCAGGCCTCACACACTTACTGCCTTTGTGACCCTGGGCAAGTCCCTTGACCCTGCTTGCCTCAGTTCCTCATCTGTAAAATGAGTTGGAGAAGAAAACGGAAAACTTCTCCAGTACCTTTCCCAAGAAAACCCCAAATTGGGCCATGAACAGACAGACATGACTGAAATGACTGAACTACAAAACTCCAATTCCTACAGGAAGCCTTCCCCAACTTCTGTTCATTCCGGTGCCTTCCCTCTGTAGAATGTCTCTAATCTATCATGTACAAACTGCGCACATGCACGTGTCTACATATATGTAGATATGTCTGTGGATATACACACATACATTGTTTGCGTGTTGTCTCCACGTTAGACTGTGAGCTCCTGAAGGGCTGGGAGGGTTTTTTGGCTTTCTTTGTATTCCAAGTGCTTAGCTCAGTACCTGGCACACAGTATGTGCTTAATAAATGTTTATTGACTGAGATAACATGCAAACAACTACATAAAAACAGAATACATACAAGATAATTGGAGATAACTGAGAGAGGGAAGCGATTAGTATTAATGAGGACCCCTGGGAAAGATGAAAAAGGAAACACTCAGGAAACTCACCTGATGAAGTTCCTTACAGGTGAGGAGCAAGAACTTCTCTGAATCTGCCACGCGCAGACATCCTTTGGTGTGGTCCAACCAGGATCCAAAGTTCACTGGAAGGGAATTGGGAAGGACAGATAGGACCCAATCATTTCTTTTTCACACATTCATAAAGTGCTTACTCAGCCTCAGATGCTGGCCAGAATGGGAGTCCTGGACAGTGAAGTAAGTTCTGCCCTCACATAACTTAGTCTGGGGTAGGAGGGCATGATTCCCTGACACAGAGAAATTTCACCCAAGAGAAGGCTAGCTGGGAGAAGGGCCATGAGGAAGTCACAGGGCAATCTTGGGCCAGGTGCTAGCCTCAACCTGAGGGATCTTAGCAAGAATGGTGGAACTGGAAGGAGATGTCTGGTTGGGTTCCCTGGAGGAGGTGGCATTAGGGGCAGCTAGGTGATGCAGTGGATAGAGCACCAGCCCTGAAGTCAGGAGGACCTGAGTTCAAATCCAGCCTCAGACCAAACACTTGACACTTACTAGCTGTGTGACCCTGGGCAAGTCACTTAACCCCAATTGCCTAAAAAAAAAAAAAGAAAAGAAAAGGAGGTGGAATTAAAACTTTATCATGGAGGAGGTAGGAGAACTTGAATGACCTGTATTTCAATCCAGGCCCTGAGCTGGTCTCTTGAGACTTTGTTCCTCAGAAAGTACACTGGTGTTCTATTCAGAAGACCTAGGCTCAAATGTAGGGGGTCAGCCCTGGAAATTTCTTGGTCAGGTAAGCTTGGAAATGTTACTTCCCCCAGTATGGGCCCCCCATCCCTCTTCTCTAACATGGGGGTCACAGCCCTTTCATGGTCTTTATCCCTGGACTGCTAAGAGAAATGTGCCTTCCAGAAAATGGAAGGGCACTTTCAAAACAGGTGCTTTCATTACGATGCCGGGGAGTATGAGGAAGAAAAAGAGAAAGGGGAGTAGCATCTGATTCCACCATTCTCCCCTCACTCACCATTTCCTTACAGTAAGTCGTCAAAAAATTGCTCAAAATTTGGCCACGACAGGTAAAATGGTAGCTGACTGTGGTAATGGTAAAAAAAAAAAAGATACAAGGATATCCCTTGGATTCCTGGCAACATATATCAAATGAAGCAAAAATGGAACAGGGAGACATCAGCACATCCATTTTTCTTTCTCATGAAGCTTCTCTGGTAGGGAGCTCTTGGATCTGCTGTCCTACCCACTCCTTACATCCTCACGCTCAGCTCCGTGGCTGGCATTTAGTAGATGCTTAATAAATGTTTATTGATTGATTGGCTAGTGAGAAGAAAAGGGGATAATTATCAAAATAAGCAGATGAAGATGCTTTGGAACCCACTGAATAACACACTTCTTATAAATGCACAGATGATGGAAGAGGACACAGAGATTTACACTAAAGCACAGGATGAGCCCAGGTAGCATGTTCAAGAAAAATGGAGAGGACAGGACTAGTCATGGGGAACCCAAACACGCTAAGACCTGCAGTCTCCCAAAAGAACTGGTTCAGAGATGGCTCAATGAGTCAGGTGTCCCATACAGATACAGGCATCAGCATCTTCTCAGATACTCCAGATATCAAGGGTACCCTGCAGGAGCGAGTGGACACAACGTGTGAGATCTTTGACCTGCTTCTTTTGCCCCTTCAATCTGAGTCCTTATGCTCAGAGAAGGAGTAGAAAGCTTGCTTAAAGAACAAGTATTCTGAAAAGAATCTGGGAGGTCAGAGTGGGCCACAAGCTCACTGAGTCAGCAGTGGAATGTGGAAATGAAAAACACTCAATGGATCCTGGGTTGCATACAGGGAGACAGAACTTCTAGGAAGAAGGAGGTGATGAGCCTTTTGTCTTCTGCCCTGCTCAGACCTAATCTGAAGGGTCATGTCTAGGTCTAGGCACCACGGTTTGAGAAAGAGTTTAATAAACTGGAGAGTATCCAGAGGAGGGACACCAGGATGGTGACAGATGAGTCTGTGATGTATGAAGATCATTTGAAGAAACTAGACATATTTTGGCTGAAAGAAAGAAGAGTGGGGTGAGAGGGTGTGTGTGGGGGGGAGGAATGATAGATGTGTTCAGGTATTTCAAGAGGTTTAATGTGAAGAAAGGAAAGAAATGAGCACTTATTTAGCAGCTATTCTGCACCAGGCACTGTGCTAAACATTTTTAAAATATTTATCTCCCTGTTCTGGGAACCAAGATGGCAGAGTAAGCAGTAAATTGCTGTAGCTCTCCCATATTCATCTCCAAACAACCATGAAATGGTGCCCCAGAACAGATCCTGGAACAGCAGAGTCTGGAACAGATAGGGTGGAGCACTTATTTTAGCCCAGGAAACTTGAAGGATTGGCAAGACAGGTCACTTGGGTAAAAGGGGAGCACAACCCAGGACAGGAAGCATCCCAGCAAGCCAACATTAAGCCCCACCTCAGCAAACCAGTGGAAGATCCTGAGGCCCAATGTAGTGGAGTAGGCAAACACCAACACCAAGACCATGTACCTTAGCATAGCCAGGGGAATTGGCAGATCCCAGCTCTGAGAACCACCATGTCCTCCAGTGGCCAGACCTCCATGTGCTTCAGTGCAGCCCAGAGCAAACAGATATCTTCCAGGGGCCAAACCTCAATGTGCATTACTGTAGTCCCTAGGAAACTCAGAAAAAACCCCATCTGGCCTCAGCACGTGCCAGACACTACCACTAGGACCCCAGCTCAGGACCAGGTAAACTGCCAGACCTCTTCAGCTTCCAGCTGCCAGCACCTGAGGCCCCAGCATACAAAGCCAGTGACCGGGCCCCCAGCCCCCAGAACAAGAAGCTTGGGAAGGTGCCCCCTGTGCTCCCATAGGAGAGCTCAACTTTAAGATCTAGGAAATAGGTGAAAAAAATGAACAAGAAGCAAAAACTAATATTGACCATAGAAAGTTACCATGGTGACAAGGAAGATCAAAATAAAAACTCAGGATACCATGGTCTGAAACTTCAAAGAGGAATATGAATTGGTCTCAAGCCCAAAAAGCCTTCATGAAATAGCTTAAGAAGGATTTTAAAAGTCAAATAAGAAAGGTAGAAGAAAAATTGGGAAAAGAAATGAGAGGTATGCAAGAGAAAGTCAACAGCTTGGAAAAGGAAGGACAAAAACTGACTGAAGAAAACAATTCCTTAAAAAATTTGACTGGATTCATAGCAGCTCTTTTTGTGGTGGCAAAGAATTGGAAATTGAGGGGATGCCCATCAATTGGGGAATGGCTGAACAACTTGTGGTATATGAATGTAATGGAATACTGTTGTGCTATAAGAAATGATGAACAAGCTGACTTCAGAAAAACCTGGAAAGACTTGTATGGTCTGATGCTGATTGAAGTGAGCAGAACCAAGAGAATGTTGTACACGGTAACAGCCACGTTGTGCGATGACTAATATTGATAAGCTTAACCCTTCTCGGCAATACAAGGATCTAAAACATCTCCAAAGGTCTCATGATGGAAAATGCTATCCACATCCAAAGAAAGAACTAGGGAAGTTGAATTGTTATTTTTTTTCTCTTCTGTTGAGTTTTGTTTCCTCTTTCTGGTGGTTCCTCCTATTGGCTCTAATTTTTACTTACAACATCACTAATGTGAAAATATGTTTAATAGGAATGTATATGTATAGTCTATATCAGATTGTGCACTGTCTTGGGGAGGGTGGTGGGGAGGAAGGGGGAGAAAAATGTTAAACTCAAAAGCATATGGAAGTGATTGTTGATAAATCAAAATAAATTAATAAAAAATTTAAAAAAATAAAAAAATTTAACAAAAAAAAATTTGGTTGGCCAGGGTAGCTAGGTGGCACAGTGGATAAAGCAATGGCCTTGAAGTCAGGAGGACCTGAGTTCAAATCCGGCCTCAGACCAAACACTTGACACTTACTAGCTGTGTGACTCTGGGCAAGTCACTTAATCCCAATTGCCTAAAAAAATTTTTTTTTTGATTGGCCAGATGGAAAAAGTACACTGAAGGAAACAACTTCTTAAAAAGTAGAATTGGCCAAATGGAAAAAGAAGTACAAAAGCTCACTGAAGAAAATAATTCCTTAAAAATTAGAATTGGGCAAGTGGAAAGTAATGACTCTATGAAACATCAAGAATTGGTCAAACAAAATTTAGAGAATGAAAAAATAGAAGAAAATGTAAACAACTGACCTGGAAAATCCATCCAGGAGAGATAATTTAAGAATTATTGGACTACCTGAAAACCATGATCAAACAATAGTCTGGACCACATTTTCCAAGAAATTATCAAGGAAAACTGCCCCGATGTCCTGAAACCAGAGGGTAAAATAGTCATTGAAAGAATCCATTGATCACCTCCTGAAAGAGATCTTAAAATGAAACCTCCAAGGAATATTGTGGCCAAATTCCAGAATTCTCAGGTCAAGGAGAAAATACTGCAAGTGATCAGAAAGAAACAATTCAAATTTCATGGAGCTACAGTCAGGATTACACAGGGCTTAGCAGCTTCTACATCAAAGGATCAGAAGGCTCAGAATATGACATTCTGCAAGGCAAAGAAGCTTGGATGACAACCAAGAATCAGTTACAGGGCAAAATTGAGCATAATCTTTCAGGGGAAAAGATGGACATTCAATGAAATAGGGGACTTGCAATAATTCCTGATGAAATACTTCTTAATCAAAATACATCAATCTTCAAGTACAAGATGCAAGAAAAGTATAAAAAAGGTAAACATGTTATTCAATAATGTTAAATGGTTTACATCCCTACACGTTAAGACGATACTTGTCACTCTTGAGAACTAAATTTTTATTGGGGAAGTTAGAAGGGGTATACATAGACAAAAGGTGTGGGTATAAGTTGACTTTGATGTGATGATAAAAAATTAATTAATTAAGGGGTAAAAAAAGGATAGTGTTGGAGAAGAGGGAAAAGAGGTGACAGAAGAGGGTAAATTATATCACATGAAGAAATGCAAAGACCTATTACAGTAGAGGAAAAGAAGGGAGGGAGACGAGCATTGTTTGAACCTTATTCTCATCAGATTTGCCCCAAAGAGGGAATAACATACACAATCAGTTATAGAAATCTATCTTACCCTATAGGGAAGTAGGAGGAGAAAGGGGGAAGAACAGGGAGGGGAGTGAATAGAAGGGAGGGTAGAAGTAGCAAGGGACAGGGGAAAGAAAAGGGAGTGGGCTGATAGGAGGCAGGGCAGATTAAGGGAAGTAGTGATCAGAAGCAAAACACTGGTGAGGAGAGAAAGGGTGAAAGGAGAGAGAAAAGTATAAACAGGGTGGGCGGGGAACAGGTTGGAGAGACAGACACAGTTAGTAATCATAACTGAATGTGAATTGGATGAACTCTCACATAAAATGGAAATGGATAGTAGAGTGGATGAAAAAACATAATCCTACAATATACTGCTTACAAGAAATACATTTGAAGCAGAGAAATACACAAAGAGTAAAGGTAAAAAGCTGGGGCAGAATAAATTATGCTTCAGCTGAAGTAAAGCAAACCAAAAAAAAAAAAAAAAGCAGAAGTAGCAATCCTGATCTCAGACAAAGCAAAAGTAAAAAATAGATCTAATTAGAAGGGATAAGGAAGGAAACTACATCTTGCTAAAAGGTACCATAGACAACAAAGAAATATCAATACTAAACATATATGCACCAAGTGGTATAGCATCCAAATTCTTAGAGGAGAAGTTAAGTGAGTTACAGGAAGAAATAGACAGCAAAACTATACTATTGGAGTCCTTAATCTCCCCCTCCCAAAACTATATAAATCTAACCACAAAATAAACAAGAAAGAAGTTAAGGAGGTAAATAGAATTTTAGAAAAGTTAAACATGATAGACCTCTGGAGAAAACTGAATGCAGGTAGAAAGAAATATACCTTTTTCTCAGTGGTATATGACACCTACATAAAAATTGAACATGTATTAGGGGATGAAACCTCACAATCCAATACAGAAAGGCAGAAATATTAAATGCATCTTTTTCAGATCATGCTGAAGTACAAATTACATGTAATAAAGGGCCATGGAAAGCTAGACAAAAATTAATTGGAAATTAAATAATCTAAAGAATGAGTGGGTCAAGCAACAAATTGTAGAAATGATCAGTAATTTCATCAAAGAGAATGACAATATTGAGACAATATACCAAAATTATGGGATGCACCCAAAGCAGTTCTTAGAAGAAATTTTATATCTCTAAATGCTTACATGAATAAAATAGAGAAAGAGCAGATCAATGAATTTGGCATGCAACTAAAAAAACTAGACAAAGAACAAATTTAAAATCCCCAATTAAATACCAAATTAGAAATTCTGAAAATCAAAGAAGAGATTGATAAAATTGAAAGTAAGAAAACTATTTGATTAATAAATAAAACTAAGGTTTTATGAAAAAAACAACAAAATAATAAACCTTTGGTTATTTTGATTTTTTAAAAAAGAAAGAAGAAAATCAAACTACCAGTATCAAAAATGAAAAGGGTGTATTCATCACCAATGAAGATGAAATTAAAACAATAATTAGGAGTTATTTTGCCCAAATGTATGCCAATAAATCTGACAATCTAAGTGAAATGGATGAATATGTGTGTGTGTGTGTGTGTGTGTGTGTGTGTACCAGATGAACAGAAGAGGAAATAAAATAAATAACCGTATTTCAGAAAAAGAAATTGAACAAGCCATCAATGAACTCCTAAGAAAAAATCTGCAGGGCCAGATGGATTTACAAGTGAATTCTAGCAAACATTTAAAGAACAATTAATTCCAATAGTATATAAACTATTTAGGAAAATAGGTGAAGAAGGAGTCCTACCAAATTCTATTTATGATACAAATATGGTGCCGATACCTACACCAAGAAGAACCAAAACAGAGAAAGAGAATTATAGATCAATTTCCCTAATGAATATTGATGCAAAAATTTCAAATAAAATATTGGCAAAGAGATTACAGCAACTTATCATGAGGATAATACACTATTGACCAGGTGAGATTGATACCATGAATGCAGGGGTGGTTCATTTAGGAAAACTATCAGCATACCTGACCATATCAATAATAAAATTAATAGAAGTCATATGATTATCTCATTAGATGCAGAAAAGGCTTTTGGCAAAATACAGTGCCCATTCCTATTAAAAAATACTAGAGGCTCGGAATAAATGGAGTTTTCCTTAAAATGATAAGTAGCATCTATCTAAAACCATCAGCAAGCATTGTACATAATAGGGATAAGCAAAAAACATTCCTAGTAAGATCAGGGGTGAAACAACGATGTCCATTATCACCATTGTTATTCAATATTGTGCTAGAAATGTTAACTTTAGTAATAAGAGAAGAAAAAGAAATTGAAGGAATTAGAATAGACAATAAGAGAACAAAAGTATCACTCTTTGCAGGTGACATGATGGTATAAATAGAGAATCAACTAAAAAATTACTTGACATGATTAACAACTTTAGCAAAGTTGCAGTATATAAAATAAACCCACATAAATTATCAACATTTCTAGGTATTACTAACGAAGCTCAACACCAAGAGATAGAAAGAGAAATTCCATTTAAAGTTACTATAGACATTATAAAATATTTGGGAGTCTACATGCCAAAACAAATCCAGAAATTCTATGAACACAATTACAAAACACCTTTTCACACAAATAAAGTTATATCTAAATAACAAGAAAAACATCAGTTGTCCATGGGTAGGCTGAGCTAATATAATAAAAATGGCAATTCTACCTAAATTAATTTACTTATTCAGTGACATACCAATCAAACTACCAAAAATTATTTTATAAAGCTGGAAAAAAAACAATAACAAAATTCATCTGGAAGAACAAAAGTTCCAGAATATCAAGGGAACTAATGAAAAGAAATGCTAGGGAAGGTGGCCTAGCTGAACCTGATCTTGAATTGTATTATAAAGCTGAAATCATCAAAACTGCTTGACACTGGCTAAGAAATAGAGTGGTGGATCAGTGGAATAGGTTAGGTATGCAAGACATAATAGTCAATGACTATGGTAATCTACTATTTGATAAATCCAAAAACTACAGCTTCTGGGATAAGAACTCACTATTTAACAAAAACTGCTGGGAAAACTGGAAAAGAGTATGGCAGAAACTAGGCATAGACCAACATCTTACACCATATACCAAGATAAAGTCAAAATGGGTACATGATTTAGATATAAAGACTGATACTATAAGCAAACTAGGAGAGCAAGGAATAATCTATCTATCAGATCCATGGAGAAGGGAAGAATTTATGACCAAACAAGAGATAGAGGACATTATTAGATACAAAATGGTTGATTTTGATTACATTAAATTGAAATTTTTTTTGCACAAACAAAGCCAACACAACTAAGATTAGAAGGGAAGCAGAAAGCTGGCAAACAATTTTTACAGCCACTGTCTCTGATAAAGGCCTCATTTCAAAAATATGTAGAGAACTGAGGCAAATTGATAAGAATACAAGTCATTCCCCAATTGATGAGCGGTCAAAGGATATGAACAGGCAGTTCTCAGATGAAGAAATTAAAGCCATCTATAGTCATATGAAAAAATGCTCTAAATCACTATTGATTAGAGCGCGTTGTACATAGTAACAGCCATGTTGTATGATGACTAACTTTGATAGATTTAGCCTCTCTCAGCAACGTGAGGATCTAAGACATCCCCAAAGGCCTCGTGATGGAAAATGCTATCCACATCCAAAGAAAGAAATATGGAGTTTGAATGCAGATCAAAGCATACTATTTGCTATTTTTTTCTGCTGTTTTGTTTTGTTTCCTCTTTCTTGTGGTTCCTCCTATTGGTTCTAATTCTTCCTTACAACATGACTAATGTGAAAATATGTTCAATAGGAAGGTATACGGATAGCCTATGTCAGATTGTGCACCGTCTTGGGGAAGGAGGTGGGAAGGAAGGGAGGGGGAGAGGAATTTGGAACTCAGAAGCTTATGGAAGTGATTGTTGATAAATCAAAACAAATTTTTTTTTTAGGCAATTGGGGTTAAGTGACTTACCCAGGGTCACACAGCTAGTAAGTGTCAAGTGTTTGGTCTGAGGCTGGATTTGAAGTCCTCCTGACTTCAGGACCAGTGCTGTATCCATTACACCACCAAGCTGCCCCTAGAACAAATTTTAAAAAAATAAAATATATGGAGAACTGAGTCAAATTTATAAGAATGCAAGTCATTCCCCAACTGATAAAAGATCAAAGGATATGAACAGGTAGTTGTCAGATGAAGAAATTAAAGCTATGTATACTCATATTTAAAAAGCTCTAAATCACTATTGATTAGAGAAAGGTGAATTAAAACGACTCTGAAGCACCACCTCACACCTGTCAGATTGGCTAATATGACAAAAAGGGAAAATGGTAAATGTTGGAGAACATGTGGGAAAATTGGAACACTAATGCATTGTTGATGGAGTTGTGAACTGATCCAACCATTCTGGAGAGCAATTTGGAACTATGCCCAAAGGACTATAAAACTGTGCATACCCTTTGATCTGGCAAAATTACTAGGTCTGTACCCCAAAGAGATTATGAAAAAGGGAAAAGGACTCACATGTACAAAAATATTTATAACAGCTCTTTTTGAGGTGGCCAAGAATTGGAAATTGAGGGTATGCCCATCAATTGGAGGTGGGAAAGGAGGAAAATACTATTAAGTGGGGGAGGGAGAGAATACAAAAGAAAAGAAAATATTTACGTCATTTAATCCTCACAGCATCCCTGGGAATTAGGTGCAATTGTTATCTCAGTTTGATAGTTGAGGAAATGAGGCAGACAGAGTAAATAAATACCCCAGGGTCACCCAGTTAAAAATTGTCTGGGGTCAGATTTAAATTCAGTTGTTCCTGACTCGGGGCTCTGTGGCCTAGAAAGGCCTCAGGTCCTCCCAACCTGAGGCCCACATGCGACTGGCATTCCTGAGTCTCTGTTCTCCTTTTTGCATTTTTTCTTTCTTATTTTAGTTGAAAGCATACTGGAAACAGTGATGACCTTAGGAGTTCCAGAAGACTGAGTCAACATTTGCCTGAAGTCTGGGAGCTGGGCTCCCATCTGTGCAGAATTTTCTGGAAGCCAGACGGTGAGGAGGGAGGTTCTGAGCAACCCGCCTTACCCAGAGCAGTGGAAGGAGTCCAGAAGGAGATTCCTCTGTTTGGTCCAGGTGGACAAAGCCAAGAGTCGAGGGGATGTTGCAGAGAAGAAAATCTAGGCTGGATATCAGTAAAACCTTCCTGACAACTTGCTTGGTCCCTAAGCAGGATGGCTGCCTAGACAGGGGTACGCTCCTGTCCTTGGAGGTCTTCAGGCAGCCTCAAGGCTCCCTTGTTGGCTTGGGTAGAGTTGGCATGCCTTTCCTGTAGAAGTTCGATTCATGGGCTGGTAAGGCCTTTTCTAACTCTCACATTTGCTGGTTCTGGTTTTGCTCCTTTGGGGAGTATCTAGGGGCTGTCCAGTGTTATCACTGCTGGGAAAAGCTATATGAGATAAACTCAAGACTGTCCCGTGTCACCCAAGAGCTTTGTTCCTAGTTGTTTTCTGAGTAAACTCTACATCAGCATCTAATGAGTCAGAGAATGATTTTAGGGGCAACTTCCTGGGGGCAGGGAGGGATCCTGTCTGAGAAAGGCCAGAGAGTCCTCTGGGAGGACTCAGAGGGCTGAGTCCTGGGCTGGGCTGAGTCCTGGGCTAGGCTGAGAGGAGGCATTGGTCCACAGCGCAGCAGGTGGCCTTGACAAGGCTTGAGTTCCCCATTACTGGAGGAGATAAAGATCTGGCCAAAGCACTGACTTTGGGGGCTCTGGTTTGTTCTCAGGAATTCCCGTTCATGTAGGGACTGTCTTGAGTGACCCCCAAGTTGCTTCTAACTTAGAGAGTCTGTGATCCTCCATGCCCTCCATACTCCCAGCACCCCCCGAGGAGAGAAGGGAGGTGAAGAGTTGGGACAAAGAGGCACAGGAAAACAAGGGGGATAAAGGGGTGTGTGGGGATGGAAGGAGAAATGATGGGGCAGCCCTGTGCCCTGGACGCAGGGCCCTGGCTTGGAACCCTTTCTGAGGCTCTCACAGTGCCTTCAGCTCCCTGGGGCGGTCTCCTCACTTCTCAGTTGGAGGTCATCCTTACAGTGTGCATTGCACAGGCTGGTTAGGAGAGCAGAAGGAACTTGGTGATCTTTAAACAGACAGAAAAATGAGATTGTCCTGAGATTGAGAATTGCTGTATTTGGAAAACTCCTGTTTCTCCTATAGCTCATGTCTCTGGCTCTCTCTTGTTCCTAATCCTGGTCTATTACCTGCCTAACTAACGCCATCCCTGGGACACACCCATCGTTGTTCTGAAGCTCAGTGCTGCCCTTTCTTCTAATGCTTTCCCTGTGGTACAGCTCATTGTTCACCTGGCAGAGCACCACAAATTTAGCCTGGCCCCACAGGAGCATCCTGAACACTTCTTCCTTTAAAGACCATGGTGTCTGGATTGCAGGTCTGGTCCATCTGGCTTTGGGAGCCTTATGGCTCTGGCTAGTTCCTTCGCTTCTGGGGCCCCAGGTATTCGTTTAAACCTGGGATTCTTATTTAAAAATTTGTTTCGTTTTTAATTTCTGGAATAAAACAAGCATTTCCATGACATAATACAGTAAAAAAGATGATTGTACATGAAATTGCAAATCTACTATGCACAACTTGCTATTCCTTTCAAATATACAACACAATTATCACATAAATATCTTTTTTTTTCTTCCCTTTCCCACCCTAGAGATGGTTACCATTAGATACAAATAGGTATATATGTAGGTATATAGGTGTGTGTATATTATATATATATACAAGTATGTATAGAATAATTTTACATATATGTGTTCACATATATCCATATATTTATAATATTCATATATGTGTATATAATTTTACATATATGTTTACATATACATATATAACATATATATAAACATACATATATAAAATTATTCTATACGTACTTCTATTCATCGGTTCTTTCTCTGGATGCAGATAGTCTTTCTTATATGTCCTTTATAGTTAATTCAGGTATTTATAATAGGCACAAGGACTTATTCACTCAAAGCCATGCTTAGAACTGTGTTGCTATTGCTGCGTACAACTCTCTCTTGGTTCTGCTCACTTTGCTCTTCATTATTCCACGCAAGCCTTTCCCTGTTTTTCTGAGATCATTGAGCTCATCAGTTCTTAGAGCACAGTGGCATTCCATCACAATCATATACTCCAACTGTCCAGCCATTCCCCACTTGATGGGGATCCCTGCAATTTCCAGTTCTTTGCCACTGCAAAGGGAGCTGCTATAAATATTTTAGGGTCTATACCCAAAGAGCTTTATCTGGGGTCCATGGACTTCCCGGGGGTTTTGTGGAGAGGATCAGAGGATCCGTGAATTTGAAGGGGAAAGAGAATTACATCTTTGTTTTCACTAAGCTCTTACTGAAATTTAGCACTTTCAATTATTTCAAAATCTTGTGGGATAAGAGGTTTAAGGGCTTCAGTAAACTGTCCACCAGAGGGAGCCATGACACACCAAAACTTCAGGATCTTCTCTCTTCCATGAGTCTGAGGCCTAGGATGTTGAGGAAAAGCAGAAAGCTTGGCTCTTCTAGATTCCCTCCCCCTCTCTTGGTTCCCAGCCCTTCTCCTGACCTGACCTGGGGTGTAATGACATCTTTGTCCCAAGACTGAAACTCATCCCGCATTCTTTCAATTGCCTCCACATCATGGATTCTGGGAATGAGAGGGATCCTCTTCACCAACATGGATTTATTGGGATTCTCCAGGCAGACGGGCCTCTCCTGGCTCAGTGAGTGCTCTCTCCCGCATCCCTCTCACTGACTCTCGTGCTCCTGCTTCCTTGGAGCTGTCTGAGGTCCAGTAAGCCACAGACCTGTTCAGTGTCCAGAGTTTGGAGGAAAATCATTAGGAAAGTCTGGAAGCTGGGATGTCTGGGATAAGGATCATCAAGGCCAAGGAAGCTCGCTCCTTGAGCTCTTCCAGCAAGAACACACAGGACAAGAACACTCAGTCTTACTTGAATGAGACCAAATATTTAAGGCAGCTTCCATGGCAAACATGTATCTTCAAGACTGCTGAAGGACTGTCATGGAAAACAAAGATTAGGCCTGGTCATTTTGGCTCCCAGAGACAGAGTGGGAGGGGACTGACTATAAAATCTTATTGGCCACAGATTCTTCCCTTATCCACAGATCTGACAGATCAAGTATTCCTTGCTCCCTTAATTTGATTATGACATTACCATTTATGTCTAAAACATGTGCCCATTTTCACTGTAATTTCATATACTATGTGACATGTTGTTCTATACCCAGTTTCTGCCAAACTGCTTTCTAGTTTTCCCAGCAGTTTTTTGTCAAATAGTGAATTCTTGTCCCAAAATCTTGGATCATTGGGTTTATCAAACACTGAAATTACTGTGGTCAGTATTACAAATGAAAAAAAAATCCCCAGAGACAGTTTCTGGGTAATTAATAATCTATTGATTAATTAGACTAATAATCAATAAATTGATGGTTAGAGGCTTTTCCAGGTAACCAAAGACAAGCTATGGAAAGCCTGAGAGCTACAAATAATCCTTGAAAGGGAATTCCATTGACAACTGAAAATCAACCCTGATTGGTGGACATTTAACGAGGAGATGGGCTGAAAGTCCTCAGCTCCTCCTGCTGAGAATGTGGTTTGATCACGAGACTCAGCCTCCTCCAGCAGTCTGAACAGGGGGCTCCATCTCCATCAAAACCACTTTGGTTGGTTTTCTTCTTCATGATGTGGGTCACCCTAAGCTCCAATGGAGGGGCCCAAGGACAGGGGCTCCTAATCCAGGGGTAAGAACTCTTACCTTGCCCAAACTGAATTCTGTCTATGCTATAAACAAAAGTTAGGTCTCCTAATTGTGTGGGGTCCTGCCCGAGATTGAAGAGCATCTTCTTTGAGGGTTAGAGGTGATCTCTGCAATCAGTCATATCCTTCAGAGGCTGACTTTTTTAAGGAGCTGGGCCTTAATGAGAA